CGTTATGAGGGGATCGCCGCGCGGGTGTGGGGCCGCCCCGATCTCGCGTTTATGCGCGGCCACGACAAGGAAACGGCGGCGGGAGGGGACGACGGGGGCTCGGCCGCCGCCGCCGCGGCTTCTCGCGCCGCGCACCGCGCGTGGACGGAGGCGGAGTGCGCCGTGGATGAGGAGTTCGAGCCGCAGTTTGGCCCGAGGTGGCAGGAGCGGCGAAAGCGGCCTGAGCACGCGGAAATCCGGCGTCAATACCAGCGCCAGCAGCCCCAGGACCCCCAAGGCACGTCGTGGGAAATTCCAAAATAATTAGCGGGCAAGACGTAAAATGACTAAAAGGGAATCCTATGTTTTTTCTTCTGCACACAGGTATGCGACGCGTTTTATGGGAACCACTCTTCATTATTTCGCTACGGTGTCAACATCTGCGTTCTATACATGCATATATATAAATAGATAGATGTCCATATATCTTTCTAAGTATAAGGGTTATCGCTTAGACAATGCGAGGTTGTAGTATGTCTTGTTTAGCCGCGGCACCTCGGTCCCTTTTAGGCTACCCCCTTCGCCGTGCCGCGGCGGAAGAAATGCTGTACGGTGGGGTTCGCGTCGGCTACTTATCGCAGCGCCCTTTTCCTCTACACTACATCAAAAGCGAGGAACTCCCGTCGCCGTCTTTGCAGCGTGAGCGCCACGACCTGGGCCTTGAAATGCAGCTTCCGAAGGACTTGCACGGCTATGACCAGCTGGATAGAAGCATCCAACCCCAAGTCGACCCAACCCACGGCGAGGACGGGGCGGGCGAGGAGGGGTTCGACATGGGCGAGTACTTTTCCACCGCCTTCCATCCGGAGCGCCACCACAACTCATCGCCCCCGTACCGTGCGCACGACACGAACAACGTTATGGGCCTCCGTGTGTTTCCGCTGAATATGGGCATCCGTCTTCGCGTGGAGGGGGTGCGGATTCGCACCAAAGACTGCTGGGAGCGCCTTCAGGACGCCAAGCTCTGTGCCCAGCGAGGGGTGCCCCTGCAGTACCCCCTTCCCTTCTACAAGCGGGCCCAAATGAAAGACGAGGTGAAAAATGCGGGTTTGAAGCCCTCCCAGGCCCTCGCGCACCTGCGCGGCGGCCCCTCCCACCCACCATCCGCGGAACTCTCCATTTTCACCCGCCCGCAGGACCATCCGCGCGGCGGCGGCGGCGGCGGCCCCTCGTCCGGTCCGTCCTCCACCCGCGAGGCGGCTTTGGCGTACTTCCGCGAACGCCATCGGCGGGGAGGGGGGGACGCCCCAACCCCGGGGCCTTCCTCCAGGCCGGATCGTCGATGGACCCCTTTGCAGATGCTCAAACCCATCCCCCACACCTGGTCGCCTGGGATTCGGAGTTGTGGTACCCGAGGCCCCGCCATGCAGCTCCTGCAAGAGCGCCTGGACCGGAAGGGCTTCGGGTGGAAACGGAAGTCGCGTTCACTTTGGCAGCAGGATATCGATACCGCGGGATTCCGCCCGCACCGCTTTTTTTAAAAACACAGCCCGGTAAGGAAATAGGAGACCTATACATCCATGTAGATATGGGGGGAGGGAGGGAGGGGGGTTCCAGTTTGGTTATGGTGAAATATAGGCTCAGTTTCGCGCATAAAGGTGTAGGGTTACCGGAAGAGTAAGAGACATAGATGTACACCGGTGCATCTTATCAGATGTGGACTACCGAAGCGACTCAAGCGGTCTTTATGGCAATTTTGTAGGCATAGCACGGCAAAACCGCAATCTATTCTTAGTTCCTGACCCCTTGATATATTTTTGTGTGAAATGTATCTTCTCATTCATGATGAACCTCTTACCTTTTTAGTTGAACAATACAAATCCTAAAAGGTTGATCTTGCTCGAAGAAAGAATATTCTGACTTCATCAACTACCATCACGATGCTATCCTTGCGTATGTTTTTTTCAATGACTTCTCTTCTCATCTTTATTGACCCGTTTCCTCAAAAAATATATAGCCTTAAAAAATAATATAGAGTGTAAAACGAAAAATATATTTCATATCTATCTATTTATCCTAGTGATCTCTTTTAAGCATACGCAGATCATAAAACTAGAGCTTTTTTTCTTTTTTTTTTCTATTTTTGTTCTAATATATATATATTCCTTTCCTGGAAGTTCACTTTCTAATCAGCGGAGCTTCTTGCGGCGTAACTTCGTGTGACACCGACCTTAGTGCCGATAAAGTGAGCCAAGGGTCTAAAACGGACTCGTGACCTTGACTGTGTGCTTTTGTGTCTTTTTTTGGTTTTTGTTTATTTTGCTTCGTCCGACCACAACGCGCTCTCGCCATTGACCCCTCGACGCCAGCCTCCGACGCCGCTGGACGGACACCCGATGTATTCTCTCCTCTCCTCGGACGCGCAAGCGGTCCCGGGGTACTACCCCCTTAGCAGCCACTACACCGTCCTGCAGCCCCCGCCGCGGCGGCAGCCCGAGGGCTTCCCGGTCTACCCCGGCCCCGGGGCCCCGGAGGGGCTAA